CCTCACCTGCACATTCTCTGTCTCTCGAAATACCTTTAAAAAAATTTTTTAAAGGGAAAATAAAACTTGAATATATATACCTATCTTTATAAAAAGAAACACAGGAAAGATAAACTAGAAAATAATGAAGTTTGTTATCTACAAAGAATGGAGGGAGAGCAATATACAGACAGAGGGGGAAAAGGGACCTGGGAGGAAATGACCCTTCTCTGAATATGCCTTTTTGTGTAAATTTGACTGTTGAAAGGATGCTAGTGTTCTACATATTTTTTTTTAATTTTTTAATGTTTTATTTATTTCTGAGAGAGACAGCATGAGCAGGGGAGGGTCAGAGAGAGAGGGAGACACAGAATCTGAAACAGGCTCCAGGCTCTGAGCTGGCCGTCAGCACAGAGCCCGACGCGGGGCTCGAACCCAGGAACCATGAGATCATGACCTGAGCCAAAGTCGGACACTTAATCGGCTAAGCCACCCAGGCACCCCACCCAGGCACCCCATCATATTTTAAGAAATAAAATTAGAAAGGATAGGCAAAGAAGAAATCTAAAACTGAAACTAAAACAAATGAACCCAATTGTATTTTAAATTAATACTATAAGCACACTGGAGGGAAAAAGAAAAACTTATGAACACAGATTTAACTGTATTCCTTCAGTCTTGGGTTCAGTCAAGGGGAGAATTGCAAACAAATCCTAACCTATTTTTGGTGTGGTTTTTTTTTGTTGTAGTAAGAGTGAAATAATTCTAAAAGTTTTAAATGTGATAGGGGATTGAGAAAATGAGTGAAATTATTGTCGTTATTTGAAGCCGGGGTTCTCACCAAGGAAGGAGGCAAGCATACAAATGTGGAAGGGGGAGGAGGAAGAGAATCTGTGGAGATAGATTGTAGTGAGAGTTCTTGGTGTGACCTGTGATTTCTAAAGTACATGCATGTGTATATATGCACATGTACGTGCATGTGTGTATATTTGTGAATTCCTAAGTATGTATGTATTTGTCCTGTCCACAAAAAAGTAAATACTCCCCAGTAACAATGAGTACACTGTGAGATTTGCCACTAAAATGAGCCAAACCTTCTCAGAGAAATGACTGGTTCCAGGGCTGGGGAAAACTAGGTTTGGGAAGAGCCTAGAGCATCTTGTTATGCCAGAAAGAAAGGCAATACTAAAAAGAAAAGAAGATGGGGTTATGACACACGGGCGCTGTGGTGAGCTTATCTATTTTGTCTGTTATTAGTATAGCGCCCCCTGCTCTCTTTTGGTTACTGTTTGCATGGGCTATTTTTTTCAGTCCTTTTACTTTCAACCCTTTTGTGTCTTTAAAGTGCATTCTTTGTGGACAGCAGTGGACTATGTATTTTTATTTTACTTTGACAGTCTATGTCTTTTGATTAGTGTGTTTCATCCCCTTACACATACTTGTTTGTTTGTTTGTTTTTTGGAAGATTTTTTTTTTTAAGTAATCTTTACACCCAGTGTGGGGCTCAAACTTAACAACCCTGAGATCAAGAGTTCTCTATCAATTGAGCCAGCCAGGTGCCCCTATCCCCTTACATTTAATTACTAAGGAAAAACTCATTTCTGTCATTTTGCTATTTGTTTCTATATGCCTTATAGTTTTTTGTTCCTCATTTTTTGTATTGTGTTTTGTGTTTAATTAATTTTTGTAGTGAAATGTTTGAATTCCTTTCTTATTTCCGTTTGTGTATATATTATAACTATTTTCTTTATGGTTACCACAAGAATTACAGTTAACATCCTAAAGTTGTAACATTTTAATTTAAAATTTTGCCAGCATAACATCAATAACATGAAAACTCTCTTAATGTCTTCTTTACTTTTGAAAAATATTTTGAAAAATAGTTTGGCTGGGTATCAGCCCTCCAAAATTTCTGATAAGAAACCTGTTGATAATTTACTGAGGATCACTCGTATGTGATGAGTTGCTTACCTCTTTCTGCTTTCAAGACTGTCTTTGCCTTTGAACAGTTTGATTATAATGTGTCTCAGTGTGGCTCTCTGAATTCATTCTACCTGGAGTTTGGTAAGCTTCTTTCTTGCATGTTTATACATGTGTCTTTCATGAAACTTGGTAAGTTTTCAAAAAAAAAAAAAAAAGAAAAGAAAACCTGGGAAGGTTTCAGCTGTTATTTCTTCAAATAATTTCTCTGCCCCTTGTCCCTTTCTTTTTTTGGGGGATTCCCACGATGTGTGTGTTCCACTTGTCCCTTAGGCTTTGTTCGCTTCTCTTCAATCTTTGTTTTATCTGTTCTTCAGACTGGATAATTTCCTTTGCGTGCCTTGAAGTTCATTGATTTGTTTATTCTGCCTGCTCAGATGTGCCTTTGAATCTGTACTGAATATTTTCAGCTCCAATATTTCCTATTGGTTTTTCTCTAGATTTCTATATCTCTTAACATTTCCATATTCCGTATTATTTTCTTGACTTTCTTCATGTCTTCTTTCCATTCTTTGAGCATCCTTAAGACTGTTGTTTTGAAGTATTTGCTTAGTAGGTCCACCATCTGGCCCTTCCAGTGACAATCTCCATTGATTTTTTTTTTCCCCTCTGAATGGGCCGTACTTTCCTGTTTCTTTGTATGTCTTGTGTTATTTTTGTTGAAAACTGGATATTTAAATCTAATAATGTGGTAACTCTGGAAATCAGAATTTCCCCTGCCCCAGGGTTTGCTCTTTTTTGGTTTGGTTTTGTCTTGTTTTTGATTGTTGGAGGTTGTTTTTATGCCAGGGATCACCCTAAGGCGTAAACTTGAGGTCTTCCAAGTCTTTTCTGAGCCTATACCTTTCTCTGGGAATGCACTGTGACCTTCTAATTTTCCCCGTAAATGTAATTTCTTTTGAATGTCCTTATCTTTAATGTGTGGCTCTCCAGAGAAGGAAGAACAGAAATGAAGGGAAGCTGGTATGAACCCTTTAAGTCCTTTGGCAGTCGCTTCAGCCAGACAAGAAATGGCTTGGCAACAGTAAGGGGTGGGGTGCAACAGTGGCTGCCATCCTCTTTATCTATATCTGCCTTATCAGAAGCAGCAGTCATTGATCAGAGTACAAATCCTCATATTTGAAAGACAAGTCCAGGGTCTCCTGGGTGGCTCAGTCGGTTAAGCATCCGACTTCAGCTCAGGTCATGTCATGATCTTACCATTCGTAGGTTCAAGCCCCACATCGTGTTCTGTGCTGACAGCTAGCTCAGAGCCTGGAGCCTGCTTCAGATTCTATCTCCCTCTCTCTCTCTGTTCCTACCCTCCTCACATTCTCTCTCTCTCCCTCTCTCTCAAAAATAAACATTAAAAAAAATTTTTAAAGAAAGACAAGTCCTTATTGTCCACCCTGGCTTTCACAAGCTGTGTGCAGACTGCTCCTGCAATTCCTACACTGCCTACCATGGGGCAGACAGTGGTAGACGGGAAACTGACCAAAATTAACTAGTTTCCCTTCCAAGCCTTCCTTTGAAAGTTACAAGGCTTCAATAGCCTCCAGTGTTCCAAAAAAGTTTTGTCAGACAGAGTCTGCTTGCGCAATTGTTGTCTAGGTGGAAGACAGATTCCTGATGCTTCCTCCTCCTCCATCTTCCCAGAATCCTCCGTCTCATTCATTTTTGTAGAATTTACTAACCATTGTGATAATAGAAACTGGGGTTCTTTGCTATCTCAGCCACCAGGCTTTACTCCTAAGAACATTTTCTTTTTTATTTTATTTTATTGTAGAGAGAGAGCACACACGAGTGGGGGAAAGGGGCAGAGAGAGAGAGAGAATTTTAAGCAGGCTCCATGCTGAGTGTGGAGCCTCATGCAGGGCTTGATCCCACGACCCTGGGATCATGACCTGAGCTGAAACAAGAGTCAGTCACTCAAACAACTAAGCCACCCAGGCATCCCTCATAATAACATTTTCAAATTTTCTAACAAAGGGCTTTAAGGATTATCTGAGTGATTTAAGAAACTAATTCCAGCAGATATGCATTTTCTTTATAGAATTACTGATAGGCTTTATAACTTCTCAGTTTAGCAACCTAGAACAAGTTAAGTCTCAAGCATATTTGACTGATTTAGCAGTTACTTTCAGTGGCCTCTTTATATATTGGTATAATATCAGGAGTACATCTTTCTTTCTTTTTTTTTTTCTTTCCTGCTTCATGAAATGTAAGCTTCCCTCTTTTTTTGTTCTCCTGATTGAACAGTAAGTACTATAAGCCTTCCTCGAAATTGGTCATTCGTGGAAAAATGAAGGACGATCCCTTTCTTCTTTGTCCAAATAAACAAAAAGTTGAAAAATCTAAAATTACATTCACAGAAAATACTCCCATTTTTAATTTCATATAAAATCCAGGGTTGTTTTCATAGATCTACATAAGAAAACACAGCTAAGAAACACTGTCTCTGTCTTCTTCCATAGTTTATGAGGCTCAACAAGAGAGTATATAAAAGTTTTTTGAAAAGCCAGAAAGCTAGCCTTTAAGTAGAAAAAAAAGATCCAGGATATTGGGAGGTGGGGGAGGTGGGAAAGAAGGATGTAAAAATTAGAAGCCTGAAAGACTCCACAATATTAACCTCTCTGCAGAAATCTATGGTTAACTTAGAAATTTTCCAAACTAGCTGTCTATCCAGATGTTACATATGACATACATAGTATGTATTGACTAATAATAAATCACTGCTATTTGTTGTGTTCTGTTATTTTATTACAAAATAAAATATCTACAATAATACATTCATATATTCATAGTTTGATTGAATGGAGATCAAAATATGCTAAAAAATCTCTCAATTTAATGAAACCAACATTTAGTTTACTATTTGGTAATATCTGAACTGGTAAAAATGAAAATGTATTAGAAATGTACATTTCGGGTGTAATGTGAATAAGAACTGAAAAAAATTCCTTTCTTTTTTTCACAGCATTAATGTATGGACTAAATATAATTCTGTGTGTGTATATATATATATATATATATATATATATATACACATATGTTTCTTTCAGGACTTGTGGTTGGATTTATCCTAACCATTGCAAATTTCAGCTTTTTTACCTCTCTGCTGATGTTTTTCCTTTCTTCTTCAAAACTCACTAAATGGAAGGGAGAAATAAAGAAGCGTCTTGATTCAGAATACAAAGAAGGTAAAATGAATTATGTTTGACATCACTTAAAATAGTAACCTTTATTTCAGCCTAACATAAGCTTACAATCAGAACATGTTTAGATTGTTTAAACAGATAAATTTTATTTATTTTTATTTTTTTAATGTTTTATTTATTTCTGAGAAAGAGAGAGAAACAGCGTGAGCAGGGGAGGGTCAGAGAGAGAGGGAGATACAGGATCTTGAAGCAGGCTCCAGGCTCTGAGCTGGCTGTCAGCACAGAGCCCGACGTGGGGCTCAAACCCACGAACCGTATGAAAATGACCTGAGCTGAAGTCGGGCGCTTAACTGAGCCACCCAGGCGCCCCTGAAACATAAATTTTAGATGAGAATAACTTTAAGTAGTGGCCTAATTTAGTTTATCATTACTTCATAATAGTAAGTAGCAGCGGAATTTTAGAAACATTAGAAAATATCATTAATTATTCTAAAATAATATAGAATATAGGCAAAGGTACCACCCAACTTTTAGTTATTTTTAAAATTTTGTCATTTTTCTTTTCTTAAACTTTAAAATAAATTCCTATAACTGCATGATTTCCCTTCTGAGGAGAAAACATTTCTTGTCCTTTTTATGTTGTTTGTAGGCGGGCAGAGGAATTGGATTCAGGTGTTCTGTAATGGAGCTGTGCCTACAGAGCTGGCCCTGTTGTATATGATAGAAAATGGGCCAGGGGAAATCCCAATAGATTTTTCCAAGCAGTACACTGCTTCCTGGATGTGTTTGTCTCTCTTGGCTGCACTGGCCTGCTGTGCTGGAGACACGTGGGCTTCGGAAGTTGGCACCGTTCTGAGTAAAAGCCCGCCAAGGCTGATAACAACCTGGGAAAAAGTTCCAGTTGGTGAGTCTATATTTAAGTTTCTTAAAAAAAAACAAAATGAACAAAAAAAATACCTGATTGATTGTTTCTTACCTAAAAGCCTTTTAAGAATTTTGGTTATTCCCCTTAATTGGAAAATTACTATAGGCTGTTAAGTTAGTGATAATACTATTTGCAGGAAATGTTAATGAGTCCTAGATAAACAATACAGAAATGCAGAGACCTATCAGTAGGAGAGGAAAAAGAAGGGAATGGTGGAGTATCTCTTGAGGACCCGTTATGTGGTTAGTGCTTTACCATAGATCTCAGTTCCCTGTTACCACTGTCATCAACTACTACTACTGCTACATTTTGTCTCTGCTATCACCTGCCCTCCTTCCTCTCCTTCCCTTCCTTCTCCTCGGCTTTTACTCCTCTTTCTCCTGCTTTTCCTTTTCTTCCTCACTTCCTCCTTTTTTTTCTCTTCCTCATTATCATCATCCTTAATACTCTTAATATTCATGTGAATTGGTTCTTTAATTATTTTCCTCTTACAAACAAGGAAATTAAGAGAAGTGAAGTAGCTTAGTTACAGTCACATAACTTGGAGGTGGCAGAAGGAAAATTGAAACCAGGCAGTCTGGCTCCATTGAACCATTCCCCTGCACTGCTCAGACTGGCAGGAGTTAATGCAGAGAAAAGACTTCTTTTCAAGTAGGCTATGCTCTGTAAGAGAACCCTTACTTTGCACTAGTCTTGGTGAGATGGGTACCAAAATCTTTTGCTTTCCTTGATTTCATGTGTTCGTTGATTGTTAACCAGATCGTTTTATCTATGTTTCTTCTTCAGGGACCAATGGAGGTGTCACAATGGTGGGCCTTGCCTCCAGTCTACTTGGTGGTACCTTTGTGGGCATCGCGTACTTCCTCACACAGTTGGTTTTTGTTAATGACTTGGACATTTCTGCTCCCCAGTGGCCAATTATTGCATTTGGGGGTCTGGCTGGATTACTAGGATCAGTTGTAGACTCATATTTAGGAGCTACAATGCAGTTTACTGGTAAGAGCATCACTTCATTATTGCAACTTATTGGTGTGTTAAATGGGGAAAATATATGAGGGGAAAAACATGGCAATGAAAACAGTGTCAGAGACACAGGAAATTGAGAGGCCAGGAATGATAGGACAGAGTCTTTTCCACAATTTTGATTTAAAATCTTTTTGTGTATTAAATTAATCGAAAGAGAATTAGTCCTGCAGAACAATGAGGAGAAGCTGTGTGGGGAGGATATGGCAGTGCAGGAAACGGACGCTTTTGCTTATGGGACTTTAACCCCAGGAAAGCAGAACATTTGGGATCAGATCATTTTAATGCCCACCCTCCATTTGTTTTACAAGTCTATTTGAGAGAGAATTATTGTACTACTCTGTACACATGTGACCCACTTTTCTGCTGTGACATGCTTTCTGTCCCCACCGAATTTTTAGCCCCACTCAAGATATATGGGAGACTTGGGTTTTCCCCTGAATTTTCTGTGCTTTGCTTTTGAGACTCTCCTGTCACGTCAGTATACTGACATATTCCGGTCGGTGTGTATTTTGTCCACACTCTGACCAACCATGCCTTCTCCTTTGACTCCTACAGTGAAGAAGCTGGGAGTCTGGAGAAAGTTTCCGTGTGTACAGTCCTTCCATTTCTCTTCATGTGTCAAGATCATCTACTTGCCCTTCTGCTTTGCTCCCCACCAGTCAGAATATTTGTTCTCTCAGATTCGTTAGTCTCATCTAGATACTAAGGAGGAAGCAGTCTGATTTTAGTTCCATGTAAAGGTCAATAATTCTACACACACACACACACACACACACACATTCTCTCTCTGTCTCTCTCTCCCCCCCATGTTTTTTGTTTGTTTTTATTTTTTTTTTTAAGACCCTAGGTTTTATTCTAAACTGGGCTCTAACTGGGGAAGTTTCTGATCATATTGAGTGGGTTGAAAAAATAATGTGAACTGTGGGACAGATTAACTCATTCAGTAAATTCTTTGTGTGCCTCCTTTGCGCTGGCACCATGCTTAGTCCTGGGTTTCCAGTGCAGAGGTCAAAGACGTGATCCCTATAAGTCTTGGAGGCCTAATTTTCTCGTTTCATGACATCTCTGCTTTTAATATTCTCCCTTCTACCTGTGAAGGAATTCCAGCAGTGTTGAGAGAACAGTATTGAGGTGCTGAAAATCACATTTCAAAAAATCTTTTGTAATTGAGGGTTCCATACCTCTCACCAGTGGATAATTATCCACTGAAATCAATTTAAAAAAATTTTTTTAATGTTTATCTTATTTCTGAGGGAAAAAGAGACAGAGCGTGAGTGGGGGAGGGGCAGAGAGGGAGACCCAGAATCTGAAGCAGGCTCCAGGCTCTGAGCTGTCAGCACAGAGCCTGACACGGGTCTTGAACTCACAAACTGTGAGATCATGACCTGAGCCAAAGTCAGATACTTAAACCAACTGAGCCACCCAAGCGCCCCTTCACTGAAGTCAATTTAAGTGGCTGAGAATCTTTCAAAGGTTGTATCCTTTGGGTGGGGGAAGCTTATTTGTTTTATTTTATTTTTTTAATGTTTTATTTATTTCTAGGAGAGAGAGAGACAGCATGAGCAGGGGAGGGTCAGAAAGAGAGGGAGACACAGACTCTGAAATAGGTTCAAGGCTCTGAGCTGGCAGTCAGCACAGAGCCCGACGCGGGGCTCAAACCCACGAACCGTGAGATCATGACCTGAGCGAAAGTCGGACGCTCAACCAACTAAGCCACCCAGGCGCCCTGAAGCTTATTTGTTTTAAATCAAGTCATTTGGATTTTCCAGCTCACTTGCTTCTTTTCTACTCCAGGTTTAGATGAAGGCACTGGCATGGTGGTCAACAGCCCGGCGAATGAGGTGAAGCACATAGCAGGGAAGCCGATTCTTGATAACAATGCAGTGAATCTGTTTTCTTCTGTCCTTATTGCCCTTTTGCTCCCAACTGCTGCTTGCCAGTTTTGGCCCAGCGAGTGAACTTTATTTCATTTACAAAGGCTGAAACTTTGGTAAATTCAGCTAAGTTTGCAATTCTGAGTTTCATCGTAAAAGAGTAATTGCAATGGCAGAGAGGAAATACCAACTCTTCCCATATTCCACTGTCATGAAATTTCAAGTTTTTCTTTAACTCCCTTGTAACTGCTAACATCTTCATAGTGAAAAATAAGTGTACAAAGAACTTATTCATATTTTTCTTCTGCTGAATAGAGCTTCTTGAGCAATGAAGCTATAATATCTACATATATTGTTATATACTGAATTGAAAATTCCTACATAGTAAATATAGATTTTGCTTTCCTTAAACCAGTGTAGGGATTAAAAGTGTAATGCCAGTTACCCAAATTTTAGTTCTGGGTGGTTTAAACTGATGTGTGTGTGTGTGTGGAATCCTGAATAAGTATAGTCCTGGACTTCCATTACTTGCCGTATACAGTTGTGAAAAGTGTGGAGCTTGGTTCTTAGTGAGCTCGAAGGCCTACTTCACATTTGTTCTCCCTTTCTCAGGGTCAGTAATGGAAAGAAAGTAAATGTCTTTTTCATATGACCATTAGAATGTGTGAAAAAGGTATTTTTAAGTAAAAGCAAAAGAGATTTATATCTTAAATATGTGCACCTTCTATTTCAGTTGATCTTTGAGCAGAAATTATCTTGTATTTAATATTTTTTAATGTATTTTCTAGCTTTCTTTGAAATGTGTATAGGAATTTGTTTTACTTTGGCATCCTGAATAATTAGAGTCACTGGAAAGCTACTGTAATTATTTTTTTATTTGCTACCTAGAAGTCACTGGAAGATGCTATGATTTCCTATTCTGTACTTAAGTTATGCTCTTCTGTACAATATAGACTCAACTGAAATGAATCCTACTTTTCAGTTTTGTTCTTCACTATGATTTACTGTATGCTAAGGGAGTTTAATATGGTATGGATTATTTTGCTGAAAATATTTTAGTATATGTGCTGCCGAAGCAAGCACGTTGCCAAAAGTATTTAAAAATATTTCTCATATGGGGTGCCTGGGTGGCTCAGTCGGTTGGGCATCCGACTTTGGCTCAGTTCATGATCTTGCGGTCTGCAGGTTCAAGCCCCGCATTGGGCTCTGTGCTGATAGCCCAGAGCATGGAGTCTATTTCAGATTCTGTGTCTCCCTCTCTCTCTCCCTCTCCCCATCTCTTGCTCTCTCTCTGTCTCAAAGATGGATAAACGTTTAAAAAAAATTTTTTTTAATATTTCTCATGTGATTTCCATATATCCCTCCTCTTCTTTTGCATTGAAATTAAAATTGAAGAGAGATTCCATCAACTAAACCATTATTATTACTAGAGTGGATAAAGCTTAGAATTCTTTACTGGTGGGGCACCTGGGTGGCTCAGCTGGTTCAGCGACCAACTTTGGCTTATAACCAACTTTGGCTCAGGTCATGATCTCACTGTGAGTTTGATCTCACTGTTAGTGCAAAGCTTGCTTCAGAGTCTCTTCTGTCTCCCTCTCTCTGTCCTCCCTGTCCATTCATTGTCTCTCTCTCTCTCTCTCTCTCTCTCAAAAATAAACAAACAAACAAAAAAAGAATTCTTTACTGGTTGCTCTACTACAGTGATAATTGAGAACGGAGTTGACTCAGGAAGAAAGAAAAAAAATGCTGACATATTTAATCCTTAAGCCAAGCAGCACAATGGATCTCAATCATTGGTTTTTACCTTTAGGTATAGATTGTAATCACCTGAGCATCTTTTAAAAAAAATACTTGTGTCTGGACTTTTCTTCCAAGGATTCTTTTTAGGACTTTTCTCAACTTTTGTTGTACATTAGAATCACATAGAGTGTTTTTTGTTTTTCTTAAGTAATCTCTACACCCAGTAGGGCTTGAATGTACATCCCCGAGATCAAGAGTCCCATGCTCTACAGACAGAGAGCCAGGCTTAAGGCATTTTTAAAAACATTTGCCAAGTCCCCTCTCTAGACCAAGTAAATCTGAGCATCTGAAGGTGAAGCTCATGAATAGGTTATTTTTGGAAAGCTCTCTAGGAGATTCTAGTATTTAGACAGGTTGGGAACTACTAAATAATGTCCTAGAGGCGCCTAGGTGGCTCAGTCAGTTAAGCATCCGACTTCAGCTCAGGGTATGATCTCACAGTCTGTGAGCTCGAGGCCTGCATCCTGCTTCAGATTCTGTGTTTCCCTCTCTCTCTGTCCCTCCCCCCCTCGCTCTCTGTCTCTCAAAATAAAATAAAGACAAAAAATTTTTTTAAAACTGTCCTAAAGCACCATATATAAAAGAAGCTTCAAAAGAATGGGACTTTTCATTTTTATGCCGACAGCTGGTAATAGCGCTGTATGTTCTCTTTATGCATTTATAGCTTCTGATAATTACACTGTGTTTTACAGCCACATCACTTACCAAATCATTCCTGTGTCAGTTTTTGATGCAGCCTATTTATTGTTTGAACAGCCTGTATCTATTCCAACATGCCTTTTCTCTTTTCCTGGTGATTCGTCCTCATGACATACTATAGAATAAAAATACTTATTGCAGCCATCTTTGGATTTGGTAGAATCACCATTTCATTAACAGTTTAAGGAAATACTGCTTGACAAGCCTTTACTTGAAAACCTGGGTCTAGTTGTGTTTTGGAATCAAAATTTTCAGATTTTAGAAAACTAATGGAGTGCCTATATTTTACTTAAACTCCCCAGAAAGAGTCTCAGGTGGCACCTATTCTCAGATACACTAATGTTTCTATGGTGGATGTATGAATAGTACCACTAAGTATAATAACTGAAGACTATAAAGAGAGCCTCAGATCAGGTCAATTTTGTCACCAAATTTAGGAAGAAACTTTCTGTCTTCAGAGCTTTTCTTGGTTATGAGAATTATATAGATAAAGAATTGTGGCTCTTTTTTTTCTTTAATCTTAGATGTATTTTATTGTAACATCCTTCATAATCGGATATTTAGTTCAACATATTCTTCCTCTTTACTGAGTGAACAGTTTATTTTAAAAACACTTTCCTGCACACCTGTGTAGCCCAGTTGGTTGAACACCCAGCTACAGCTCAGCTCATGATCTTGTGACTTCATGAGTTGGAGCCACATCGGGCTCCCTGCTGTCATTGTGGAGCTGGCCTTGTATCCTCTGTCCCTGTCTCTCTGACCCTCCCCCACTTGCATACCCTCTCCTTCTCTCAGACATAAACATTAAAAAAAAAAAAACAAAAAAAAACCTTTTTTAAAAAAAGTAAAAACACTTTCATAGAACTCCATGTAAGAATATAACAAAACAATACGTACTGCCCTACCTAGGGAAGCCTAAAGGTGTACATACCATTTTTATCATACTGTTTTACAGTAAAGGAGAGGAAGGTTACGTGCTCAACGCTTTTGAAGGAGACCTAAAGACTTCAGGGAGTGGCATTTGAGGACTCAGCAAATGGAGCTACCAGGAGAACAATGAATTGATACAATAGATCATTCCAGTCTTAGCTATTCTCATTACTTGGGTTATGAGTGCCTCAACCAAGCTGTACACATCTCTATTCTTCTATCTAATTGCTGTCTGTGTAGGAAATGCCAACCCACCCCAATTAAAGACACAGTATAGAGAAAAATCATGTAAGGTGAGATATCATAAACTTTGTCTCATGCCTGTAGTATTAATGGCTGCTACCTATTATGCACAGCAAATATACTGGAGCCAAATCATCTGATGTCCTTGATGTTTCAGCTGCTGCTCCTGATGCCATCACAGTGAGAAAAAAAACTGTGTTAGCCCCCAGATATCAGGTGAACTGTACATACTTTAAAGATGAAAACACGGGGCCCCTGGGTGGCTCAGTCGGTTAAGCATCTGACTTGGGCTCAGGTCGTGATCTTGCGGTTTGTAGGTTCGAGCCCCACATCGGGTTCTGTGCTGACAGCTAGCTCAGAGCCTGGAGCCTGTTTCAGATTCTGTGTCTCCCTCTCTCTCTTCTCCTCCCCCGCTCATGTTCTGTCTCTCTCTGTCTCAAAAATAAACTATTTAAAAATAAATAAATAAAGATGAAAACAGAATTATGTAGCTAAATTATTTAATCTCTAATAGAGAGATGTTGCTATAATTCCAATTTTTTTTAATTTTTAAAAATATTTATTAATTTTTGAGAGAGACAGAGCATGAGCAGGGGAGAGGCAGAGAGAGGGGGAGACACAGAATCTGAAGCAGGCTCCAGGCCCTGAGCTGTAAGCTTAGAGCCTGATGTGGGGCTTGAACTTAGGAACCGTGAGATCAGGACCTGAGCTGAAGTCTGACACTTAACCAACTGAGCCACCCAGGCGTCCCTGGTCCTGAATATTTTAAAAAATATATAAGTGTTCAGTGTATGTTTGATAAATTAAGTTGTTTGACTTTAATCAGTTTCCTTTAAGAAAGGAAACTGATTCCTTTAAGACTCACTGAAAGCTGATAATCAGGAATATTGTTCTGGAGGAAAATCAAACTTAAACCAGTTTGGCTACCTGAATTCCTGAGGACTGTGATGATTCCAACATTTCTCAGTCATGTGATGCACTATTAATGGTTTTAAAACTAATGAGTCAGGAAATGATAATGAGGGTAAGGCTCCTAAAATTGTTTTCTCTGCTAGGAGTAGACATGTTAACTCTCATTCATCACCATCTTCAAAATTTATTTTATGTGTGTGACAACTCTTTTTTTAATGTTTGGATTTTTTTCTTTTTTAAAAAATTTTTAAAGTAATCTCTGCCTCCAACGAGCTTGAACTCATGACCCCAAGACCAAGAGTCACACACTCCACTAAACTGAGCCACCCATGTGCCCCAGATAGTTTTTCTTTTTTTTATTAATATTTAATTACTTATATAATACAATGAATTTATTTTTATAAATATTAGTATATTAGAGATAAAACTAAAATACCCTTTGGCCTCCACAACGCCCTCAACAGACCTACCCCTCTTCTAACTTTCCCAAAATAACTACCACTAGAAATCTGAGATATTTTCTACACAATTATTGTTTTGGGTGTTTTTTTTTTTTTAATGTTTTTTTTTTATTTCTAGGAGAGAGAGAGACAGTGTGAGCAGGGGAGGGTCAGAGAGAGGGAGATACAGAATCTGAAACAAGATCCAGACTCTGAGCTGGCAGTCAGCACAGAGCCCGACGCGGGGCTCGAACCCACGAACCGCGAGATCATGACCTAAGCGAATGTTGGACGCTTAACCGACTAAGCCACCCAGGCACCCCATGTTTTGGGTGTATTTTAACACACATTATTTTCAGTCAACGAAGTTTTATTATAATTAATACTATGACTTTGCTGCGTCAAGTTGGATGCGTACATCCAAGAAAACTCTCTTAAGGGAAAAAAAAGGTTGAAAGGATGTATACCAAAATATTAATGTGGTATTTCTAAAATGCCTACAATCAAATGTGTTTCTTCTACCAATCAAGAAAATACCTAAACAAAATAATCTCTGGAAATTACTCCCCTTCTCCATCTACCCCTCCCACCGTTGTTTTAAATGGTATTCCTTTTTATAAACTACCTTATTACCAATCAATTAAAAGACTAAAATGAGAGTTTAGTATAACATAATGAAAAGTAACAATAGATACTCAAAGCAGTACTTTAATACCTTCACTTTTAGATTATTGCAAAAATTAATACAAACATCACAGATCTCTGTACCTGTGTGGTATATTTTGAGTGTGATTTTTTTTTTTTTTTTGCCAATTTTTCACTTTCTTCTGATCTTAGCTGCTTGCATTTGGAATTATACACGGCAAACGCCTTTAACAAAATTCTCAACACATTGTCGTTGAATTCTAGAACAAAGAACCATAAGGAATCTTCTCAGCCCATTGC